GACGGCCGCGCCGTCGTCAGCCGCCGCGTGGACTCGTAGGACGGCGCGTAGCTGGGCTCGTAGGACGGCCGGGGCGTCGCCGTCGCCGGAACCCCGCCGAGGAGCGTCGCCGCGGCCTCGGCGGCCATCGCCGCGTAGCCCCGTTCGTTCGGATGGATTTTGTCGTCGTAGTAGTCCTCGACGACGTCGTCGCCGCCGAGGGCGCTCCGGAAGTCCATGATGGACCCGCCGACGGCGTCGGCGACGTCGCGCTCGAGGGCCGGCAGCTCCTCGTTGATGACCGACGTGTCGTCGCCCCACTTGCCGCTGCAGCAGAGGTAGGGCGTCGTCGCGCCGACGTAAAAGTAGGCGCCCGGCGACGCGGACCGCAGCTCCTCGATGAGGTCGACGTACGTGGCGACCCAGTCGTCCTCGATGGCGCCCCAGAGCGACTCCTTGGCGTCGTTCGTGCCCAGGCTCACGATGCCGACGTCGAAGCGCGTCTCCATCATGTCGTCGTAGCCGCCGCTGTCGCGCCAGGGCTTGAAGCCGTCGCCGTCGCCGACGGTCGTGCCGCTCCGGCCGAAGTTGTGCACCTCGTAGCCGTCGCCGAGCAGGTCCTGGAGCAGGGACGGATAGTCGTGGCCCGCGCCGTGGCCGCCGGCCGTGATGCTGTCGCCGGCGCAGGCGACGACGACCACGGGTTCGGCGCACCGCGGCAGCGCCAGCCCCAGCAGCGCCGCGAGGACCTTCGTCATCGCAGCCCCAGCAGCGCGAGGACCTTCGTCATCACATAACCCCTTTTTTTGTGAAGTCAACTTCGACGTCAACCTGGTCGAAGCAACGAAGCGGTCGGCCTGCGCGATGGCAGCTTCTTATACGCGATATAGACTCCCTGACACATGGACCAAAGAAAAACACAAGCTCGCCTTCACCGTCGACGGCGTCATGAGCCCGGAGGAGTGCGGCGCGCTCGTGTCGCGCGCCGCGGCCGTGGGCTGGAAGCCGTCGCCCATGGCGCCGCTGCAGATGGGCCACCGGTCGCGCTTCGACGACGCCGAGCTCGCGTCAACGATCTTCGAGCGCCTGCGGCCCTACTGCCCCGCCGTGCACCTGCGGCGGCGCCTGCTCGGCCTGACGCCGACGTTCCGCTTCATCAAGTACGCGGTCGGCGCGTCCGTGTCGCCGCACCCCGACACGTCCGGCGGCGACAAGCACACGCCCGTCGGCGACCCGAACTGCTCGCTGTTCACGTGCCTGCTCTACCTGAACGACGGCTACGAGGGCTGCGAGACGTGCCTCCTGCCGTCGCCGGGCTCCGCGCCGCCGCCGGCCGACGCCGCGGACGACGGCTGGCCGCGCGTCTGCGAGGCGCGGGGCGTCGCGGTGCCGCCCAGGGCGGGCCGCGTCCTCGTCTTCGAGCACGACATCCTGCACGCCTGCCCGCCGCTGCGCGCGGGCGAGAAATTGGTCGTGCGCGTCGACCTGTGCTACGAGGACGTCGATCTCGACGGCAAGCGGCTGCCGCATCCGTTCCGCGACTCGACGCTCGCGCCGCCGCCGGGCGCGCGGGTGCCGTCGGCGGGGGGGAAGAAAGCCTTCGCCAAGCTCCTCGGCGGGCGCAAAAAGGAGTCCGTCGCCGACAGGATCCGGAAGCAGCTCGAGGCCGACGCCGCGGCGAAGCGGCGCCGCGACGCGTTCCCGCGGCCGGCCTTTTCGCGCGAGGGGCTCGCCGGGCGCGCGGCCGTGGTCACGGGCGCCTCCGCGGGCATCGGCGCCGCGCTGGCGGAGGCTTTGGCCGTCGACCTGGGCATGGTCGTCGTCGCCGTCGCGCGGCGCGCGGAGAAGCTCGAGGTCGCGGCCGCGGCCGCGAAGGCGCGCGGCGGCGACGTGCGGCCCGTCGTCGGCGACGTCTGCGACGCGGCGACGGTCGCCGAGGCGCTGCGCGTCGCCGCGGCCTGCGACGGCGGCCGGCCGCCGCGGCTCCTCGTGAACAACGCGGGCCTCGCGCTCGACGGCGCGACGCTCCGCGGCGGCGACGACGCGGCCATCGCCGCGACCTTCGGGGTCAACGCCCTCGCGCCGGCGACCTGGACGCGCGCCTACCTCGCCGCCCTCGAGGCCGCGGAGGCGCCCGCGGGCCACGTGCTCCACGTGAGCTCCATGTCCGCGCACCGGCCGCCGAGCGCCGCGGACCTCGGCGTCTACGCGGCGTCCAAGGTCGCGCTCAAGGCCCTCGCCGACGCGGCGCGCGCCGAGCTCCGGGCCGCGAAGCGGCCCTACCGCGTCTCCTGCCTCTCGCCGGGCCTCGTCGAGACGGACTTCTACGTCGCCAAGGCGGGGCCGCACGCCGCGGGCCTCGTCTACGCGGCCGCGGAGACGCTGGCCGCGCGGGACGTCGTCGACGCGGCGCTCTTCCTCCTGACGGCGCCGCCCCACGTCGAGGTCGCGGACCTCCTCATCAACCCCGTCCGCGCGGCGGAGGAGGCGTAAGGGCCTTTTTTTTGTTTCATCTGATGGCGCGCCCGACCCCCGGCGAGTGAGGCCGATCAGCGACACGGCCTCGCTGCTTTGCTGCCCTCGCTCGTATGGTCCGGCGCCTTACGCTACGTGAGAAATTTTTCCGCCCGCCGCGCCGCGATCAGACGACGTGGGGGAAGCGCCGGAGCTGGGGTTATGCGGTTGTGTTGAGCCGCGACGTCGCCGCAACCTCTGCGCGCCTCATGCGCGCCGGAGGCTGATGCGCGGCGCCGTGGACGACGCTCCGCCCCCGCTCCGAGTGGCGGACCTCGCGGCGATGATTGCGGGCAGCGTTCGACGAGAGACGAGAGACGAGAGGCGCTGCCGCCGTGCCAGGCCCGGCCCGCGCGGCGCCGCGGCGCCGCCGGGCCGTCGCCCGGCCGGTCCGGCCGGCCGCCGCGCTCCCCCGGACGCCCTTCGACGCGCGCGGCCTTTTCGCAGTCCGCCCGCGACCCGCGCCCCGTTCCCCAGGTTACGATGGCGCCCGCGAAGCCCAAGACGTCCAAGAAGAAGCAGGCGAAGTTCGTCATCGACTGCTGGCAGCCGGTCGAGGACTCGGTCCTCGACGTCGCCACGTTCGAGAAGTTCCTCCGGGACTCGATCAAGGTCGGCGGCAAGGCCGGCAACCTCGGCGACTCGGTCACGCTCTCCGTGGACAAGACGAAGGTCGTCGTCGCCGCCGAGCTCCCCTTTGCCAAACGCTACCTCAAGTACTTGACGAAGAAGTACCTCAAGAAGCAGCAGCTCCGCGACTACTTGCACGTCATCGCGACGAACAAAACCACCTACGAGATGCGGTACTTCTCCATCAACTCCGAGGGCGACGACGAGGCGTAGAGCACGCCGCGATTCGCCGACTTCGCCGTATAAAAGTACCCCTCTTCGAACTCGTCGCGTGATCCGTCGGTGGCGCGCGGAGCCGGCCGCGTCGCCAGTGGTCGAGCGCTTTGCGAGGCGTGCGGCGCGCGCGAGCTCTAGAGGCGACGCGCGCCGCGCGGAGCCTCCGGGGCCAGCGCAGTCGAACGAGAGCAACATGGTGGTGCTGCAGCTCCTGCTGCTGCAGCGCGTCGCGGCGATGCGCGCGCCCCGCGCGCCGTCGCTCGCAACGAACCGACGCGCGGCGCTGCGCGGCGCCGCCGCGGTCCTCGCGACGGCGGCGCTGCCGGCGAGCGCCGCGCCGCCGCCCGTGCCCGGCGCCTTCGACTACTTTTCGCAGTGCGCGAGCGTGCCGCGGGCGCTCGTCATCAACAGCGTCGACGTCGACGCGACCGTGGCCTTCTTCTCCAAGGCGCTGGGCATGGACTGCGTGTCGCGGTCGCCCGACGGGTCCGCGCCGGCGTCCCGCGGCCGCGACGATGTTCGAGAGGTTTGGGGTGGGAACACGATGAGCAATCGTCACCGTCATGCGTGGTAGGTCCGCGCGAGTGAGCTTCGGGCCGACGCAGCTCTCGCGGCCGGCGGACTTTGTTCCGGGCATCTCGTCCTTCGAAGTCGACGGCGGCCACTTCGCCCTCGAGGTGCGGCCGTCGCCGGCGGCCGCCCCCGCCGAAGCCGTCGCCTACGTGCAGCTCGCGCTGCCGACGCTCCGCGCGTCCAAGGTCCTCGCCTTCGGCGGCGAGGTCGTCGACGCCTACGGCGTCTGGAACGTGGTGGCCCCCGGCGGCGTTCCCGTGCGGCTCCTCGTCGGCGACGAGCGCCGCGACCGCGTCATGTACGTCGCCTACCGCGTCCCGGACGCGAAGAAGGCCGCGGCGTTCTACGGCGCCTACGGCTTCGCCAGGGCGCCCTACCCGCGCGCGCGGCCGCCGACGGCCGACGAGTCGCCCTTCGACCCGAACCCGCCGAAGAACGCCGTCTACCTCGAGTCGTGCGCGGACGCCGTCGGCGTGCTCCTCATCCCGGAGAAGAAGAAGCGCAAGGCCGCCGACGCGCCCGCCGCGGGGGCCGACGCCGTCGGCGCGCTCCGCCTCCGGTCCGCCGACACCGCGGGCGTCGCGCGCGACGGCGCGGGCCTCGTCGTCGACCTCGCGGGGGACATCTAACACGAGTCGTATTTCGCGCATGGACTATGTACGTGTATCGAGCGCCTCGGCCGTGCCGTAAACCGTACGCGAGGCGACTTTGTCCATCTAACACGAGTCTCGCCGGGACACGCGCCACGCCGCGACCAATTGATCCTGCGCGTCCCGAGGCCTCGGCCGTACGCGAGGCGACGTCGTCCTCACGTTAATCCTCACGCGGCACCGCGGCGGTACTGTTGGCTTCAAATAATCGCAGCTTTCGAGGGATATATGCAATGAAGATATGCTTAATTTGGAGTTGTCACCCACTTCACCTCTCTTCCGCGGGGCAGCATGGGGCCCGCCGACGCGCCGATCCTGCCGTCGAAGGATGCGGCGGAGCCGAAGCGCGGCCGCGCGTTCAGCGTCTTCGCGCTGATGCTCGGCGCCACGGCCGTCGCCGCCGTCGTCCGGTCGACGACGGTGCTGAGCGCCGTGTCCACGGGCGCGGAGCTCGCCGTGAACGGGCGGGGGCTGTACCACTGCAAGAACGGCTACCCCGACGTGCCCAAGGCCTACGACCGCGACTGGGGCGACCTGACGGGCGACTGGTACGTGGTCATGCAGAACCCCGCGGACCAGGCGCGCGAGTTCGAGTGCGACCGCATGGTCTTCGACATGCGCAAGGACGACGCGCGGCTCCGCCAGTCCATGCTCTACGAGCGCGAGGGCACGGATTACTACTGGAACGTCACGCAGGCGGAGTACAAGGACCGCACGGGCGTGTGGAAGGACACGGAGAACCAGTTCTGGAGCTCCGTCTACGCCGTGGGCACGGAGGACGACGGCTCGCGCTGGGTCGGCTGGTACTTCTGCGGGCCGGCGGTCGCGGCGACGAAGAAGGGCATCTCCTATATCCTCAAGGACTCGACGGACGGCCTCACGAAGAGCTTCTACAAGAAGGCGCGCAAGGCCGCGAACGCCGCGGGCGTCAACGACTACGGCAAGATGGTCGAGGTCGACATCGAGGACTCCTGCGACTACACGTTCCCGACGGCGGGCGTCTAACTTTAACTTGTGTTTTTATTTTCGTTACCGTCTAACTTTAACTTGTGTGTTATCTTTACTTTTTAAGGGCCGCGTTGCCGAAGCAGGGCGCGTAGCGAGGCGCGTCGGGCCGCGCGACGGCGGCCGCCGCGCCCGCGCCGCCGACGGCGACGATCGGATAGGCCGCGTCGAAGGAGCCCCGCACGCCCGGCCGCACGCGCGTGCCCGTGGGCACGTAGCGCACGATGAACGCGAGGCGCCGCCGGCCGCTCCGGTTCGGGTCCGACCGGTGGATCGTCCACGCCTAGGCCGAGGTCCGCGTTTCCGACGCGCGTATCGCCGGCGGACGCCGGTCCGCGCGGAATGGGCCTCCGCGTCGCCCCGCCGGAGGAGGACCTTGCGGGCCCCGGAGACGTTGAGCTTCGCGGCGTCGACGGACAGGTTGAAGTTGTCGAAGCCGTCCGTCGAGCCGCCCGCGTCGACGACGAGCTCGTCGACGCTGCGGCCCCGCGACTCGGGCTGCGCGGCGTACGGGAGGACGTCCATGGGGCCGTTGCGCTCCGTGACGTCGTCGAGCGCGACCCACACGGACGCGACCTGCGGCGCGACGTCCGTCGACCCGGGCGGCACGAGCGGCCAGTAGTTCGAATCCTGGTGCCAGCAGATCTCCTTGCCCGTGTGCGGCATCTTGCAGAGGATGCGCGACGTGAAGACGGAGACGTCGTCCGCGCCCAGGAGCCGTCGAGCCAGCGCCAGCATGCGCGGCAGGCGGCACGCCGCCAGCACCTCGGGGACCGTGAGGTGGAGGTTCAGCAGGTCCTCGGGCGCGAGCTCCGGCGGCCGCGCGTCGACGAGCGCCGTGCACAGCGCGTCGAGCTCGTCGAGGCTCGCGCCGGCGAAGAGCGCGATGGGGAAGACGCAGCCGTTCGCCCGGTACTCGGAGGCGACGGCGTCGAGCTGGGCAGCCCACGCAGCGTCGTCGTCGTGCTGGGCAGCGCCGTCACCGTCCTGGGCAGCAAACTGGGCAGCTCCGGCGGCCGAAGGCATCGCGGTGGCGCCGTCCTGGGCAGCATTCCAAGGCATCGCGGTGGCGTCGTCCTGGGTAGCAAACTAGGCAGCTCTGGCATTCGAAGGCAGCGCAAGCGCGGCCATCGCAGACAGACGACACGGGGAAGATGCAGACAGATATCGGCAGACGAGATGAAGTTGACCATGTCAATGAGCCAAAGTTTGCCGACGTCAGCGAGCCAAAGTTTGCCGTCGAGGACCTGGGCCGCCGCGGGCGAGCACTGCCGCGCCGACCCGAACCTCTCGACGCGCCATGGAGACCATCGAGATCCCGTCGATCCGCCTGGACCGCGAGGCCTTCGAGCGCATCCGCGAGGCCCTCATGGTCGTGCTGTCGCTGCTCAGCTTCTGGGTCATGGCGGCGGCGGAGACGAGCCACCACTACCAGTACCACTACAAATTCTACCCGTCGCTGACCTTCTTCGTCTGGGTCGGCGTGCTCTCCTTCGTCTACACGCTCGGCATGGCCGTGGGCACGCGCACGGGCGCGCTGGGCGTCGAGCTCCGGCGGCAGCTCGAGACCGCGGGGCCGCCGGTCCTGGCCTGGCTCACGTACACGGCGGCCATCGCGGCGTCGGCGACGTCGACGGACCTCCACGCGACCTTCGACGAGAGCGACGGGCCCGTCTGCAAGGCGCGGCACGGGGCAGGAAAAGAGTGCGAAATTCCCAACTTCAAAGGCTCCTCTCTCGGCCGTTTTCCACTCGTTTTGGCTGATTTTTGGACGAGCGATCATCTCTCGGAACGGTCTCGAAGCGTGGATGCTTTTTCCGGAACGCGCGCGCGCGGAACACTCACGTTGAAGCGAACTTGAATCACTCTTTTTCCTGCCCAGGCGCGTCAGTCGCACGCGCGCGCGGTCGCGGGCGCGTTCTTCTGCGGCCACGTCGTCACGGCGACGGTCTTCATGTACGGCCTCTGCGCGGCCTACGTCGGCGTCGTCGTCTCGTCCGTCTACGGCGGCGGCGGCTTCGCGAGCGACGTCGAGGCGCCCCGCGTCGGCTTCGCGGGCACGACGGGCTACAACGAGATCGACGCGTCGGACCTGCCGCCCGCGCCGCCGAGCCACCAGAACATGGCGCTGTAACGTGTGAGTGAGGCGCTCATCCAGGGGAGTGTACCTCGGCGAGCCGAGTTTTCGCCGTGTTAGGACCGGCGGAAGCAGAACCAGCAGTGGTTCTCCCGGTAGACGTGGCCCGGCGGCGCCGTCGCCGTGGGCCGCACGACGGGCGACGCGTGGGGGTTCGCCTCGGCGCGCCAGAACCAGCGGAGCCGCGACTCCGCGGCCGCCGCGGCCTTGTCGTCGTCGTCCGCGTCGGCCTCGCCGAGGAGCGCGGCGCCGACGGCGAGCGCGTCGAGCTCGGCCTCCTGGGGCGTGTAGGACGTGACGACCGTCGGCGACCCCCGCGCGAGGAGCGCCCGCAGGGACGCGCGCCAGGTCGCGTAGCCCCAGAGGCCCGGGTGGAAGAGGAGCGCGACGTCCGGCGGCGGCTCGCGCGCGCCCGGCCCCGCGAGCCACTCGTCGTAGAAGCCGGACGCGTGGGCGACGCCGCCGCCGCCGCCGACGCGCGCGGCGGGCCGGTCCGCCATGCCCGGGCCGACGACGATGATTCGGACGGCGCCGACGCCGCGCCGCGCGACGGACGCGACGAGCGGCGCCCACGCGTCGTCGTCGCCCTCGCGACCGGGCTCGCCGCCGACGACGTGGACCACGAGCTCCTGCGGCCAGACGGCGAAGCTCATGACGCGCTCCACGGCGCCGATGGCCGTCGACGCGAAGGACCGCCGGCCCGCGTCGTTCGGCGCCAGGGCGCCCTCGTCGACCATGGCGTCGTCGCCGTCGCTCTCGGCCATGGCGGCCATACGTTCGCAGCGATGCGCTTTCGTGCGGTCGCGCAGCGGTCGCGCACGAGTCGTCAATGCGGCGTCAGCGGCGCGCGGAGGCTGCACTCTGAGAGAGGCTCTCCATCGTTGTGGACAAAATCGCAAAATCGCAAAGCCGGACACTTACTAATCGACGGACCAAGTTGCAGTGAAATGTATCGCTCGGCTGAAACGTCGTCTTTTGATGGAGACAATGTGGTTGGTCGGCGGAGCGGGGCTGCGTCTGGGGTCTGGGGCGCCCGAAGGTACTATGCCCGCGCGGCTGCCGGCCGGAATCGGGGCGACGAGAGAGGGGTTCGCTTGGCATAGTACCTTCGAGCACCCAGAACCTCGCCGCGGGGACCGCCTCGCGCGCGCGGAGAGAGAGGGGAAAATGATCTCGGCTTCTGCGTGCTCCCGAGACGAGCGGGCTGAAGATTTGGGATGCTCGACCCCGAATTGCCATTGCGAAGTGTGCTCAGTTTCTCTCCCCCTGGCCTGGAACATGCCAAACCCAGCATCAGAGATCGTGCGACCATCATCGACGACGTCCAACCCTTTTTCGAAAGTAAACTTCTAGGTTCAATAAGTTACTGTTGCGTTCCGGCCGACGATTGGTAAGTGCCGGAGCTCCGCGACGGCGTCCGATGGCCGACGTGTCGGACGCCCGAACCTGGCCCCTTTGGCTAGCGCCCAGGGACGTCTCGTGTGGCTACAAGCGACAAAAAAAACCGCTCCGTTGGGGACGAATGGCCGGCCGTTTCGCTGGTGTGAGCAGAAGACCGCGGCCTCGATCTCGACGCGAACGAGGCTAGCAGATGTGTCTCGAGGTTATATCGGCTGCCTTCTAGCGTAACTGCGAAGGCTGGCGTGGCTAGGTAGGGCGCCGATAGCCTCTCCATCGACTGCAAGTTACAGTGCACGAGAAGCCGACAGAAGGCGATTCGGCCGGAAGCATGATGGTTCGCATCGCGGCCTTGTGCACGCTGGCCGGCGCCGCGGCGCTCTCCGTGTCGCGCGCGCCCTTGGAGGCGCCGCTGCTCTCCTCTCCCGTCTACTCCTTGGCGACGCTGAACGGCGACGACTCGACGAATATGAATATCTGCACCTACGCCACTCCTGTCGGTATCCGGCCCCAGCGGCGCTGGACGCTGAGCCTCTACCGCGGCACGCGGTCCCACGCGAACTTCGCCGCGCGGCGCCGCGGCGTGCTCCAGCTGCTGCGCGAAGCGCACGCGCCGGCGACGCACGCGCTCGGCGGCGTGTCCGCGGCGAGGGTCGGCGCCGTCGACAAGGCGGCGGCGTGCGAGGCCCTGGGCCTCGACTGGGAGGCTTGCGGCGACTGGGACGAGCGCGTGCTGCCGGGCTGCGCGGCCTACCTGCGCCTCGTGGCCGTCGACGGCTCCGTGGACTGCGGCGACCACGAGGTCTTTATCTGTCGCGTCGCGGGCGGCTTCGGCGACGCCGGCAACCACCTCACGACCGGCGAGCTCCGGCGGCTGGGGCTCATCACGGCGAAGGGCGCCGCCGTGGAGCCGGCGGCGGCCTTCGCCCCGGCGCCCGCGGCGGCCTTCCACCAGCCGGCCTTCGCCCCGCCGAAGCCGCGTTACGCGAACGCGCGCGCGCCGGAAGTTCCGGCAACCCCCGCGGACCCGCCGATCCGCAAACACAGCGCCACGATACGCGAACAGGGCGAACCATTGCGCCCGGACACCGAAACCTCCGAGCAAGCCGAGCGGACGCCCGCGCCGCCGGCGGTCGAGGCCGAGGCCGAGGCCGCGCCGCCGCCGGAGGCGAGCTCCGACTCGGACGTCGTGGACGTCGAGTTCGCGGGCGCGCAGACCAACGGCGTCGCCGCCGCGAAGCTCCAGGACCTTCCGGACGACGACGACGACCTCAAGGGCTTCTTGCTCGAGGCGCTCAAGGCCGTGGCCAAGGCCAAGGGCGTCGACGTGTCCGCGTGCTCCGAGAAGGCGGACCTCGTCGCCGCCATCCGCGCGGCGCCCGCCGCGGCGGAGCCCTCGAACAGCACGGCGAGCGGCCTCGATCTCGGCGCGGGCGACTACGACGGCGTCCTCAACTACTACGAGAACGTCGCGGTGCGCCGCCTGACGAAGCAGATGGTCGCGCGCGTGCTCCAGGCCGCGAACCACTACGACGTTCTGGGCGTCGAGGTCGCGGCCGGGGACCGGGACGTCAAGGTCGCCTACCGCGACCTCGCGTTGCTCGTGCACCCGGACAAGTGCGGCGCGGACGGCGCGGCGGAGGCCTTCCAGAAGATCAACGAGGCGAACGAGGTCCTCGGCGACTCGGCGAAGCGCGCGACCTACGACGCCGCGCGGGAGCGCCCGAAGTCGGACCTGCCGAAGGAAAAGTCGCCCGAAGGGCCGCGCAAATATCGCATTCGAAAAACAAGCTACGACGACTAATGTCTTTGAATTGGCGACGCCTCGTCTCGGCTTCTCGCTCGAGGTGCGCCCGGCGCGTGACGCCAGGCCTGACGACTAACTGACGACCGCGTACTTCAACGTCGGAGGATGCCGTGTTTGGTTGAAGAGCGTCGACGACGTCCGACGACGGGTCTAAGCGGCGCTTGAGCTCGTCGCCGCCAGCGTCGCGCGCCGCAGCACGCCCACCTTTGCAACCATGGCTCGCGTCGCAGCGCTCTTGTGCACGCTGACCGGCGCCGCGGCGCTCGCGGCGCCCGTGACGCGCGCGCCTTTGGAGGCGCCGCTGCTCGACGCGCCCGTCTACTCGCTCGCGACGCTGAACGGCGACGGCTCGAGCAACATGAATATCGTGACCTACGCCAGTCCCGTCGGCATCCGTCCCGAGCGGCGCTGGACGCTGAGCCTCTACCGCGGCACGCGGTCCCAC